CTTTTACTTTCCTTTTTAGTTTTATTTTAGAATTCCCTATTTTTAATGTTCATACAGAGATTTCTTTAACTGAAATACCGAATAGTTTCTTTGGTGTGAAAAACTATAATAGTACACAGGATCCTAATGAGACAATTAATAATGTGAAATAGGAAGTAAAGGGCTAAAGGTGTAAGGAAAGTGGGAAGGGTGGGGGAAAGGTAATAAGGGAGAGGAAAAAAATATGAGAAACTGTAAAAATGGAAATAAAGTGTTTGTAAATGGGGAGGGGAGGAAGGGGTGAAGGGAGGGCAGGGACAAGGGGAAAAATGAGAATCAAGACCTATTATGTAAAGGTACAGAATCCCAATGATGAATGTAATTGTATTGTATACCTAGATTATACCAATAAACTCAATAAAAAGGAAAAAACAAACAAACAAACAAACAAACAAGTCCCCAACTCTCCCTCCCCCGCAGCCTCCAGCCAAGACCCAGAATCTGCATGTTAACTAGATCTCCAGGTAGTTCTTATGTCTACAGAATGAAAATAAAAAATCAAAAAATCAAGAGCCTTGAGCGAGTTTGGGGAGGCAGCCAGGCCATTTCCACAGGGCAAGGCAAGGGGCAAAGCAAGGGAAATGAGTCAGCAGGACAGTGGCAAGGCTCTCTGGGTAATTCTGATATGTGCTGACATTTGAGGGCAGCGATCTTCCACCCAAGAGCCTGAGAAGCATACTCGTTCCTGAGACCATCTCAAAGCAGCCAACTCGTCTCTGGAAGGAGGACCCAGTCATTTAGATTTTTTAAAAATCTCATGGAGGCTTCTAACTGCACAAGGGGTTATTCTTAATTTTTATTTTATTTGTTCATTGAGATATTATACTTATATGTATGTTTCCTACTCCTAGAAAAAGAATCCCCAGATTTTTCCTCCTGTGTGTTTTCCTCTTGCTTTTTCCTGGTCTATGATGCCAGCTGAAGTTTTCAGTACAACCTAGCTGACAAGACAGGGCCAGATTTTTCTGTCACTTTTCTAGATCTTTTGAATTTCAATCAGATGTGGGGCTGATTGCTCCACACTTGTTTGATCCATCTGTGTGATAGGTTCACAGCAATTTTCCCAGATCTGTGGTCATCAGTGATTTCTGCTTTTCCCATGAAACCATGCTCTGTCCTCACATTTAGAAAGTGGAGATGATTGCTGGGTGTGTGCATGGCTGTAATTCTAGCATTTAGGAGACCGAGTCAGGGGGATCATGAGTTCAAGTCCAGTTAGGGGTACATAATAAGTTCAAGGCTGGCCTGCTCTATATAGTAAGACCCCATCTCAAAACAAAACAAGGGTAAAATCAAACAACCAAGTAAAGAAGGAA